CTTTTCTCAAGTGTCATTCCTGAATTCCTGATTGGCTATAGTTGTTTCTAGGAGGAGCTAACAATGAATGTCTTTTAACTTGATTAAGTTAAATGAAACAGAATAAAGGCTGCCTACCTTGTCCGCTGACATAAAGTAACAAGGTACATTTATAAACTTGGAAATTTAAAAGTTGGAATTAAAGGACATTCTTACCATATTGTTTGCTGTTGAATTAGCAGCTACTAGATAAACTGGACCAAATTTAAACCCTGAAGTGTATTCTGGTGTAAATATCATAAAGTATATGAGTGCATTGTTATTGGCACCTAAATTACAGTAATCATAGAAGGAATAGTGACACGAACAGGGCAATTGACACCACATCACATTTTAGAGTCAAGTATTCTACCTTTCTGATTTTCGTAAAATAGGTACTTGCATATCTTCACATGTCAAGATTCTTATATAGCTTTTAAAAAACACCATTGTCTTCCATTTCCTGCTCAAATGTTCACATATCTGGCATTAGTACATCTATCTAATGCGTCATCGATTTTCAATTGTCACAGAGCTCAGTAACTCATACATTGCTACAGTGTGAAACTCCTTGACAGTTTTACAACCCAAATTAGAAGGAAAAGAGAAAAAGATGGAGGGGGAAGTGAGTGTAAAGGCAATTGAACATATTAGTGGTTTGCTTTATGGAAATAGTCTCCGGAACCTAATTAATCATGTGGTTCATGGAAGGGGAGAGGCTCGATGTTCTAGGTCCAGCCCGTTTCTGAGCGAACTGTTCCTAACATGAGGTTAGATGTTGAATAGAAGGTGAAGATTGGCTGAGCCATTTTTGAGACTCTTGTTTCCACACCTGTTATCCAGGTATTTTCTTTGCTACTCATAAAATGATTAACTCTTCCAAGAAGACACTTCTTCCACAAAACCTTGCACTTTGTTTTTAATGCTACCAAGTAAGAATCTCTGATGAATTTAGGAAGGAAGGAATATCTAGAATGACAAAAGATTCTCAAATCCCAAACTTGAGTGAGAATTTTAAAAGATGACTGGACTGCAAAAATTGTAGGAGTAATTAAAATGGTTGTCTTCATCTTTGACATCATTACCAGGGTATCAGAAAAGCATCCGAGTGGAACAGAAGGAACATCAAGACAAGGAAATGTGTCTTAGTTTGGTCACTTAGCTAAATGCCCTTGAGCGTGTTTATTAAGCCCTCCTCAGCCTTAGTTTGTTCATCTATAAAATGAGTTGATAATTGTACTTATAGCTTACAGACTCGCTATGAGGACATGGTGGTATAAGATTGGTAAAAGTCACCTTGTAGATCACAAAGCATGAAACCGATGTTAATGCTAGCCTTTCTTTTATCACTGTGCTCTTCCCAAGGTCATAGCTAATGGCTTTTAAAGATGTTGAGTTGAAGTAGTAAAAGGGAGGTCCATCTCCCAGGCACTCTTGGAAGTTAAGGCAAAAGATAAGAAACATTGCCTTACCTTAATGAAGAATAATGTCTATTTTCACAGTTCATATTGCAAATGATATTTGGAGAGTGTCATTTTTTTCCCCCTCCCCTCTAGGAAAGAGAACTAACTTTCCTTTGAATGAGAGAAAAGTGATTGGAGGGTGGGACAAGAAAGACCGGGGTGTAAAGAGAGCTTAAGAAGGGATATAATGGAGAACTGGCAAGTCTTCAGAACTGTGGCAGCCGACTCCTCCCCGATTGTCTTTTCAATGGGTCTACTGTGGCAGGACAAATAGAAGAACAGGTGAAAGGTCACCTACTTCCTCATCCATCTTCCTTGGGGTCTGGGAGGTCAGAGTGAAGATTGATTAAGATCTTAAATGTTTGACAAAGGATCCCTAGGCAAAAATGGGCAGGGCGGGAGGGGGCCTGGGGTGTGCTGTTGTTTAAATTTAACCCTGGTCATCTGCCGGGAGTCCTCAAGGGACCTCGGGGACAGAACTACACTTCCTCTTGGAGTTCTTGCTTCCAAGCAGTACATACTAATGGAGACCGAAGGATGGAGAGCTGTGTCAAAAGTGTGGAGAAGGGCAGGGTGATGGTGGGCTTGCCCTCTGAAGCAGCCGCAAGTTCATTCTGCTCTTGAATAACATTTTCTGAACCTATTTGGCTCAGTCTGGGGGTGGGGAGGTTGGGGGCACAACAAAGAGTGTGAGCCACTCAGCTGTCCTCCCCTGGAGAGTGGCTGGCTAGAGGTCACAGCACTCACTTGCCTAGTGATTGGGTGCAGAGGATAAGAAACTTTCCTAGTTAGTCTAGTTACGAGGCCTCAGACTGTCTGAGAAAGGAAACAAAACCCACTTCAGACCCCCTCCCCCCCACACACACACCGTGAGGAAATGTTCCAGGTGTTTTACAGGGTTGTTTTTATTACCTCAGAAAAATCTTAAGCAGAAGGAAGAGAGGAAAAAATTCTTTATGAACTTATGTTTTGCATAATGAAAAAGCTGAGAAATGAAAGGAAACTCACAGATTTACTTTGTGAAATATTAAGGAGTAATATGTTCAGAGACTGTAGAGAAAAATACAGTTTATAAAAAGAAAACATTCTTATAGAGTTGACTCTTCAGGCCAAGTAAATATTCACACCTGTGAATATGTAGCCAGACAGAATGTAGCCAGACAGAAATCAGGCCTTGCTGAAATTTACAATTTTGCTATGAATTGTCTGGGGTCATATATATCTAGGACTTATATATCATTACATAGATGATGCCTTCATATCAGCAAAACATATCTTATTAAAAGCTCTTTTGAGAAAGAACAAGACAGAAGTACTTTGATGGCTGTAAAACAGAATTGTTTAAAGTTTGTGCTCTAAAAAGAGAGGCTGAGCTGTTAAAAAAAAATTACTTGGTTTTCCTAAGGAGAAAGAAGTACTGGAAAGGAAGCATTTAAAATATAGTTCAGAGAGATGCTGTTTCATATCCTTTCCACTTTTGAAATTTTCTTCTACCTTTGAATCATGTCATTAAGATTCAATTGCTGGAATCACATGGCTGCTTTTATCTCCGGCTTTGAAGCGTGGCTATGATCATAGAAAGATGCAATTCTTCATATACGAGAAGAACAGGGTTTAATTATTGTCCTTTTTCTGTTATGCGTTTTTATTTCTCCTTTGTGCGACCGGGCTTCTTTTTGAGTGTGAATGATGCAATGGTGTCTACTTTGGGTTCTTCACCGAAGCATCACATATGAATTATCTCAGTTAGGGATTTTCAAATATGGTACTTTAGATTTGATGACTTATTTTAGTCACACTGAGCTTCCTTGTACCTTTCAAAAAATGAATTGAGACATAATTATTCTTTTAAGAAGTAAGTCTTTAGAAAGACTGATTAAATGGCTTTTCATTTAC